TTTTGTGTTGTTTTTGTGTTTTTTGTTTTGTTATTTGTTTTAAAATGTTTTTAACAATTTGTAAACAGTAGCACCATGCATTCTTTTTAAGGCAAATGGGCTGCAAAGGCAAGATGAGCTGATAGACTAGTTGATTAAAGCCAGGATGATATTGCCAAGTTATGAAGAAAACATTCTTCTTTGTCTGTTAAATTCACATGAATCCCACGTAGTTAAGAAAAGTATGTAGAGTTGCTGCTCATTGAAGGTCCTCTTTTTATTAGTTAAACATTTAATCCTTCATTTCCATTTATTGTCCCATATAAACTGTAGGGACATTTTTTTTAATCCAAAGACAAATAGTAATAGTTCATAATTATAGCATGCCACAAGAATAGGACTATATATTTGATAAACCTAATAGCAAACACTCAGATGTAAACAAAGTGTAACATGATAGTAGAATTATAGTGAAGCCACATTTTTGATTTGGATAGAACTCAGATTCATGTTGTTGTTAATACGTTTTTCAGTTGTAATATGGTGTAATTCATTCCATTTCTTTTAATAAATCTTCCATTTCTTTGTGTCCTATTTGTTTTCCATCACAAATTCCCATGATTCCTGTTGTACACAAATATCCATGATTGCTCTAGTGTTATATCAAGCTATCTCCCTTAAGTTGTCATCTCTGCTTGTTTACCTTGTATAACTCTTTTCCCCAAAAGAAAATAAATAGATATTTTGAAATTAAATCTTCCATGCTGGCTCCTCTCCTTATCAGAGGCCAATCTCCAGAAAGCCATATATGAAATTAAATGAAGGTGTTCATAGCCCACAACTAATTCTCTCACTTTCTATTTACTATTTTCTCAGCTTACTGCTAAGGCGTGGGGGAATGGTTTGAATGGTGGGTGGGATAACATTTAATTCCCTCCTCCCCCTAGATCCCTTTATTTATTTAGTTTAACATAAGCCTTCTGATTTTTAGTCTTCCCGTTACAGAGTAACATAACCTGCAAGGTAACCTTACGCTTAGTTAGCTTATTACACTTTGCATCTTAAGTTTCTTGACAATTTATTTTTCTTTTTATGGTCTTAAGAAAATGGAGAAACCTGTTCCATGTTGAGATCACATTTCTTTCAGACATGCAAACAAAAATATCCAGGGGTGGTCTTAACGAGTTCCAGGGATAACTACAAAGAAGCAGGGATGCCCATTAACCTTCTGTATTTGGTGCAGTTGGGCTTCTTTCATCAACCTGCCTTTATTTGGGGCATGAGTTGAGTCTGTGTCAAACTCCTGCTGATCTATGAAGACCAGTGGCTTAGAGCTTGACTTTTCTTGTTTCCAGGGGTTTTGAAAGAACTCTATGGGAGAAACAAGGCAGCTGCTTTATGGTGAGTCAAAGTTTGGTCAACCTAGTATTTCCTTCCTTCCTTTCTTTATGTCTAGCTTTCTGTTTAAAACATCTTTAAACAATTACATTAAAAAAAAGGTAGAACCTAACAAAATTCATACAATCAAAATAAAAACCAGAATTACACCAGACGTTAAAATAATTAACAGTGAAAAGCTTGATGGAAGAGAGAGTGTCACGGATTTCCTAAAGACTGAGAGCTAAATGCACTTCCTTAGAGAGTATGCTCCATAGTCTGGGAGTCACACCAACAGCTCTTGCTTGTTAGTAGCACTTCTTTCAAGAAGGACTTCACCTACTCCTCTGAGTAACTGCATGTTTATAGTGGGAGAGGGTTCCATCATATCACCAGGCCCTAATCTGTTTAGGGCAGTGTTTCTCAGCCTTGGGAACTTTAAGATGTGTGGACTTCAACTCCCAGAATTCCCCAGCCAGCCATTGTATGAATTCTGGAAGTTGAAGTCTACACATCTTAAAGGTCCCAAGGTTGAGAAACACTGATTTAGGGCTTTAAAGGTTAGCACTAGATCCTTAAATTGCACTGGGTAGACAGTTGGTTACCCATGTAGATATTTAGTACAACCATCTATGATTTCTGTATCATATAATACAGCAACCTGGCCATATTTTGCAATAATTGCAAATTCTAGACATTTTTCAAAGGTGGTCCTATGTAAAGCTCATTGCAGGGTCAAAACAGGTGGTAAGTAAGGCATGGATAGCAGTTGCTAAGACTGATTGCTCAGGAATGGTCAGAGTTGGTGCATATGTCAACATAAATAAATAAACAAATTTGCAAATCTAGTAGCAGTTGGGGATGAAGGACCACTTACCAAACTATCTTTTTGAGGGAGTTCTGGTTTATCCTAATACTACCTCAGCCTTACCCAGATTTAATTTCAGCCTGTTCTTCTTCATCCAGCCCATCATCAAGATTAAGCACTATGCAAGGGTGCTGATAGCTTTTGTGAAGTTAAAGAAGGTAGGGAGTAATAGATCAGGATCTCATCAACATACAGACCCCTGCAAAGTGGTTTCATGTAGAAATTCTAATAAATTCAGAATTTCAGGTCAGAGTTTTTCCATCCTTACCTGAAGGTGCCCCAAATTGCAAAGCATATACCACTGAGCTATATCTCTTCTCCAGTGTTGACATATAACACTTCCGGGAATCAAGTATGTCAAAAATAGTCTATTTAGAACAGTTTTGAAATATGCCATAGATTAAGGCATTCCTAGTTCTGTGCCTTTCAGTGTATTGAGCTACAATACCCATTACTCAAGTTGGAAAAATAGGCTAATTGAGAGATTTCTCTACATGTCTCTCAGTTTAGTTCTATCCCAACTGTGCTAGGAAAAAAGAAAGGAAAAGTATTCCTTTTGTCCTGAGTAAGCACTGTTAATAGGAAAAGATTAGAGGTATTCACAATGTATGAACTCTGCTGGCAATTCATTTAATCTCAGGATCCTGTTTTCGGAGGCATTTACCCCCTCCTGCCATAACTTATTGAGGAGATGCATAAAAGCCTGATCTCATTCTAAATCATATTTTATATAAACTTGTGATTTGGTCATGGCTGGATTAATGTTTTGAAGTTAACAATGTCAATGTTATTTTAAATTATATTCTAAAAGTACAGAATCTGACAGTTTTTGAGGAGGGTATGGGAATAGCCAAGAGAATTATATCAAGAGATTGGAACCCTGGATATCAAAAATTCAAGAAATTTGTAATTTATCCATTTAAAAAAGCTTTTTAAAAAAAACTAATTGAACAGACATAATACATTTCCTTTTTGCATAGATTTCATAATACATTACAAGAGCAAATTTCTATGCACAATTTCAAATATTTCTATTATATAATTGAATGGATAGGTGATATATTAAGTTGATTTATGTTCATTTCAGACATTAGTTTCTAAGGTTTTTTGTTTAATTTTTGTTTGCTTTGGTATTACACATTTATAATGAATTTGTTGCATATTTTTCTGTTAATTTGTTTTTGTATATTTTAATGTATTTTTTCTGTATTTCTCTTTTAAAAATGGGAATCATTTTCTTTAAAAATATGAAACTTGAGTACTTTCATAATATGGAATAGAAATATGGAATAGAAAAGGAGAAGGAGCCAAGACAAAGTGCAAATTTCCCCAAAGAAATGAGGGAGATGCATGTGAAAAAGGGGCAGGACTTTGCTTGAATGGTTGTGGCTGCCATCTTGACTTTTTTTGACCCCCACCCCTGCAGATCCCCCATGCCCCTGCAGTATCATTTTCCACAGTGTTCTGGAGGACCCCTGATTCTATGGAACGTCTTTCAAGGGAGCATTGGAGGCCTGTGGGGGACAGATAAGGCCTTGAGCTTTGCTCAGCTCCTGATGAATGCATTTATTGAAGGATGACTAGGTGCTATCCCTTAGTTGGGCACAGAGGGCTGGCAATTTGGCTAAACCCAGCTTTCCCCTTTCTTCCAACAAAGTCATCCTGTGAATGAAGTTCTCCTCAGACACGCTATGATCTAACCCATATTTTTTCCCACTGCCAATCAAATTAGCAGCAGGAAAAGATCTTTGGTTATGCAAAATTCTTTCAAACTCCTTAAAAAGCTGTTCAAACAACAAGCAATTGTTAAAAAATCAGCAGGAATATCATTTGAGGAAATCATGTATAACTTGTCCTGTAAGCTCATTGTCATTCTATTATAGCTTACTTCAAGGTCTAATATGATTTGATATTTCATATATTCCCATGCCCTTTTCATATTTGCTTCCATGGACTGACCTTGGTGCTAGGGGTCTATTGAAAACCATGGCGCTTTTGGATAAGTCTATTGCCAAATCACTTCTAATAAAAATCCAAGGAATGATAAATAGAACAGTGTGAAAAAGATTCAAGCAGCAAAACCACTAGGTTAAGTCAACATAAAGAGGACAAAAGCATAACAAATATACCAGTGAAGTTCTGAGTTTGCTTTTATGAGAACACAGAAACGGTTCATAAACGAATCTCTGTTCTCTATTATATCTTCTTGTTTTTCTGATTTTGTAACAGCTAAACATTGAGAGAAATGCTGTTAAATCTGCTTAAAAGTGCAATGACCAATAGATAAAACTATCTGGGATTTCATAATATCTGCAGCATATTCTTTTTATCTCTTGCATCTGATTAGAGTTGCTTTTTTTACATTCATCTTTTAAATAAATATTAACAGCTATACTGAATTGGTTAACATTGATCTTTTTAAACGCTTGTCGCTTTATAGGACACAATGATTTTCACTGGCAAATGTAACATGGGGAGAATTTTAAATCATTTGGAAACACTCGATGACTTTTATGTTTACATTAGGTTTTGGGATCTAGACTAGTGAAATTTGCAGTAGTACTCTTTGGTATTTTAAGTGACTTCTTTGCATTAATGGTATTAGGTCAGTTTGAGAGGTATATTTTGTATTTGACTTTGACTGTATCTCCTTACCCTCTGTGTTTGTGTCTGTAAATTTATGTGACTAGATCTGTGGGGCTACTTCTAATGTTATGTAATAATGTAGTTCTCCACTCACTGCATCTCCTCACTTTCTTCCTCTCTACCATTGCAGATACATTCCAACTATCTGGAGCAGATCTGGGAAATATGAGGAGGTACAGGGAGTGAATGGTCTGAAGGAAAAAAAAGTGTAGAGACACAGCAAGGAAAAGTACAAGTATAAAAGCACAATATGGAAAGTTGCAAGTATTCTACATGGCCATTAACAGAGAAGAAAAAAGCAGAAGTCCCAGAGAGAGGAATTAAGGCAGAACTGCATTTGTAAGAAGAAAACATTGCTATATAATAGTAATACTATAGAGTGTAGTATAGTAATAGTAAAGAAGAAATGTCATAATAAGAGAATAGTTATATAATAGTATATACTGTAATAGTAATAGTAATTGAATAGTAATAGAGTACAGTAATTGTAATTGTTACAGTAATAGTAATTAATGTAGTAATATAGAAATAATAGCAATAGAATAGAATATGGTATAGAAGTAATAAAAAACACATAGATTTTTAAGTTTCACATTTCACTTTTATATCTTGGGTTTTTTTCAAAATAAAATATCTCCCCAAACCTCATAGGGAGATTTAAAAAAAACAACAACTGTCCAGGGCTTTTGTGGCTCTTTTGAGTTTGGGTTAATCTAATTGGGTACAGTTTAAAAGAAAAAGAAAAAGAACCTGTGATAGTAGGAATTATACAGTCACTACCTACTTATTTGGGAAGTGAATGAGTGCCATACCTCTACTGCAGCTGTTCCCAAGCCTGCTTTACTTTTTTGGCTTTCAGCTCCCACAGTTTTCAGCCTGCAAGGCCAAAGGTACCTTCCAGATGTGTTGGGAAATCCAACACATGAGAGATGCAGACTGAAGGAAAGCTGACATAGTAGAATTAGTCTTCATTCTCCTGTCCATGGTCTTTCCTATTTTTAGACCACATTAGAGTGTTTTGGTGGTGCGTAGGCCATTGATCTCTAAATATCAATATTCATAGTCCTTTTTAGAAATTGGAAACAAAAGAGTTAGAGGTGTGCTGAACCAGGTAGATTTGAAGAACAAAAAATATGTTGTTGTTCAGCTTGTTAAAAGAAACCTTAATTCAATTTAAAAACACAACAAACTCATAAGGTGTGAATTTGGCTTGTGATATCTCTTCAGAATTCACTACATCTTTGAAGGAGAAAAATTTGTGAGGTGGCTATATAAAGCAATATAATGAATGAATGAATAAATGAATAAATAAATAAAACAAGACAACTATACAAATGTATAATAAAAAGGGAAGTTTTTTGGTGGGGAATGAGGAAGAGTGGATAGAGATGCAAATATTATTAAAACGTTAAAGATTCATTTCACAATTGGCCAATTTTCCTCATTTCCTTGATTCCAAATTTTGGCAAGGAAGGACAATAATAAAAAATCAAATTGTTTACAGAGTGCAGACACTTTTTCCCCCCTGATGTGTCCCATGGCTTCTGTTGCACAGAAAGGATGCCATGAAAGCTTAGCTTATTTTGTTTTATTTTTATACTTATATAAATCCAAAGGCAAATGTACTGTATTTGTTTTACTTTTGCTTGTCCCACAAGACAGAGTGTAGTTTTTCACCAATGTCATGTTCTTAATTATAAAGTTTTCTCTCTCTCTCCACGAATTAAGTTGTCCCTGTTCTTTGCTACAATTCCTTCGTGTTTATAAGTTTAGTAGGGGGTCTACGGAGTGAAATGAAAAGCACATGGCTCTGTATTTTTACATGTAATGAAAGAAATATAATATGGCAGAACTTATATAAATCCAAAGGCAAATGTACTGTATTTGTTTTACTTTTGCTTGTCCCACAAGACAGAGTGTAGTTTTTCACCAATGTCATGTTCTTCTCTCCTCTCTTTTCTCTCTCTCTCCACGAATTAAGTTGTCCCTGTTCTTTGCTACAATTCCTTCGTGTTTATAAGTTTAGTAGG